ACATGGGCGTGTTCATCTATTCAAACTGTGGACGAAAAACTCCAGAGAACAAAAGAGAACAATATCGTCCACGATTCCCAGCATACGTCCGCGATTGGGGTCGTGTACAAAACCTACGGGAGTCTTCCTAAAAAGTTTAAGTACAAACAAAAGAGGGACAATAGGACGTCCACGATCGATGGTGTGAACACGTTTGCATACATGTACTAGGGACTATTTGAAATGGTATGGGTACAGGAAACAGGTACATGTACATGTAGGCCTATGGCATGTACATGTGCATTGTACCTGTGAGGCAGAGAAAAACTAGCTGGTTACTGTACATGTGGTACGGTACATGTACATCACCATTTTGTTTCACCGACCTCCATGATTTCACAAACCCACATAAAACATAACATTTTGTAGTATGCACATTGCCCATAGTGTGCCATATGAAATAACCACACAAAACATAGATTTAACAGGCATCTTCTTCCAAGCCGCATACACGTACATGTTGTTCATATACCGTACATGTTCTATTTCTAATGATCCCTATTGTACAATATTTACAAGTGTGAAAGGCATGCTTTGTCTAGTATGCAGTAAAACATCCTGCCCAAGGACACCTCTCAAAATCAGTGGTCAAATAAACCAGTGATCCTACATGTACTGTACACTGGTTACGGTACATGGACATGATCATACACAATAACAAATGTGGGGATGCTGTCTAAGCACTGTAGCATAGCAAAATGTGAATAACTGAAGTGTGTACAATGTAAACATGTAGTCGTATACATGTACGCCTGAATTTAAATGAATGCCATATCTACCCTGTGTACATACATACATGTACATGTACATAGTATGTAAATGTAGGCCCCATCCTCCCCGATTCATAATTTAGTGTTCATTCACATACCGGTACATACTGGTACATGTTGAAATATTCATGACCATGTACTGACTAGATAGATTGCTGGAATCTTAGACTGACTTGAAGTCTGCACATAAATCCCCCTCCCTGGCCCTTTCCCCATCATCATCATCTCATGTCGCCGCCTCACTGCTGACCATTCTATGTTTACTGATAGCAGCAATCCTTACACAGCCAATGCATCAGACAAAAGTCACTCTGATTGTCTGACAGCAAGAATCAAAGAAAAGAAAGTTATCTTATTTTCTTCAGAGTGATTTGCCATCAAGAGCGACAGATGCAGAATGAGAACATGTATGTGAATGCACCTGAGTTCAACTGCAAATTTCACCCAAAAAACGATATCTGGCATTTTAACTTTTACCTGTAATCTTTACTGCTTATTGGACATGGTGACATGCTTGAAATAGGAATTAAAACATAATGCGGTGAAGGCCCGCCCACACATGTACCGGTACATGTACATGTGTGTACATAACACACGTATACATGTACAATCCAAGTTGACAAGTACATGTACTTGTCAACTTGGATTGTACATTGGCGTCGCTGGGGGTGGGGTTTTCATTATGCCCACCCTGGAAATATTGTTCCCACACTCATAGAAATGCCCCCCCATTTTTTTATTCCCCCATTTTGCCCCCCCCCCTGTTTTCTTCAACACTTTATTAATAAATATATTAATTATGTTTATTTTCTTCACTGTTAAGATGGGTACTCTGGGTAATTGTAAACAATCCTAAATGGCTTTAATAAGGGATAAACATGGCCCCCCCCCAAAAGTAGTTCTGCTTCCGGTTACCCTACCCACATGTAGCTATCCTATTTTGACAACCCCTACCTTAATTTTTTAAAGGAATAAATGAGAAAAAAATACCCAGAAAACCATCAATTACAATATTTTTCCCTTGACTACACGCAGACACCTCAAGATGATCGTACACAATAAAATCGGCCAGAAAAAAATAATTTCCTATGTATATAGCTACAATACATTGTACATGTACATACCGTTTGTACATGTAACAGGAAGCAGGATTATTTTTTTTTGCCTTAATTAAGAACTGCACAGCAAATTGGACCAATTAGCATGCAGATGAGAAATTCATTCAGCTCATTAAAACATTGTAATCCCATACCCTGCCCAGTAGGACCGCCCTTTTCCCTTCCCAGCCCCACTCCACTACCGTAATTACTGCAAGGCCTCCACAACCAACAATTCATCAATAGGTCATACAGTATACACTTGTACATTGTACACGACTACACTTGTACATATGTCTGTTAGGCATAACAGATATCATGTACACGCACATGTATGTACATGTACCGAATTACCGTACATGTGCGTTTCCTGCCTTACAGTCAATCCAAATACAAATGCACATGAATATAGGGGCAATCCCATGAGAAATTGGGCATGGCTGACCATTGGAAAGTTTAATGAAATCTTCAGAACTACAATCATCACAACCTCAAATGTGGTGTCAAATTAAAGGGAACAAGACCTTTCATATTTTGAGTGGCTTGTCAATGAGTTGGGATATGGTTAAGTATTTTTTTGTGTGTCAAAAATGGGGGAGGGGGGTTAGCGCAAAAATTATATATAGGCACCTGTAGTCATTTTGGCACCTTGATTTTGCATGCAGAATATAAGCGTGATTGTGAGTTTTATGTTCTCAGGCAGAGAGAAAGGTCCATATATTATTCTTAAAGTTTTTTTGGGGTGATATAATATGAACATAATTTTGTTACCAGGTTTTATTGTGTATCAAAGATGGTGGACAAAGTGTAACGTGAGTTACTGAAATGTGTCCCCCTAGAGATTTCATGCTTGAATTTAAAAAAAAAAATTGTTGTGGTACCTAGCATATGACTTACTGTACTACCTAATGATGTAAGGGCACTCCAACAGTTTACAGTAAGAGGAAACTTTCAAATGCAAAATACCGCCAATTTTGTGTAACGTGAGTTACCGATAAAAATGTATTGCTAAACAGACCTAAGCTTATTATAACATTTGTTGTTTAATTTCAAGGGATCGTCTGTGAGAAAAATCCACCCTAAATACTGTGACTGTATAAAATAACAGTGCATAGTAGACGGAAGACACCTAATAAATGTAATGTGAGTTATCGTAGAATTACCCATATGGACATGTACCGGTACATTGACCAAACCAACCTATTGGCACAGGTACTTGTACATAATGTACCCTGCAGTACATGTACACGTACATTTGTATACTAGCCCCTTTTTGTTGTGATCACTAGAATTGATTAGACAAGATTTGTGCCGGAAATTCTTTGTATTGTAGCTCTCTCACTCGCCCCCCCCTCCCCCCCCCACCTCACACTGAGGCCAGAGAGTCAATGAATTTTTACATGAGCAGCGCGCGCGAGTGGTTGTGGTAATTAAGCATTGACAGGCTCACACGAACCATGCAATACAGGTGCAGCCTTACACTATAAAATACCCCCATCTACCTTTGAATTGCCCCCTAGTAATAGAGAAACCATTAATTAATCATGCAAGGTCTGTACTCTGCATGTGTCGTGCGTTCTGCTTTCCGCCGTATTTAATTGTTGGCATTTTGATAGTCGGATGTACTGAACTGTACACCCACTGGCTAGCAACTGTGGTTATTTTTCCCCCAGGGAAATTGGGCCTCTGTTGTTTTTGCAGCGTGATATTAGAAACATTATACGTTCATGTACGGTACATGTCTGATGGCGTAGTCCTCTGACAGTTGCATATTGCACATTTGCAATGTGCCCAAGATTTTAAGTGTGTGAAGAGGCCATCCAGTGGAATATGATGAATTGTACCAAGTGCAGAATCAAAGAAACAGAAATATTAAGCCCAATGCTTGCTTGTGTTTTTATGTACACGTACATTTGTATTTCAGATAAAAATGAAACATGTGCAAAGAAAGAGAGTTGCACCAAATTTGATTGCGTACTAGCATCAGCAATGGCACACTTTCTGAAATGGCATTTTCAAGGCCGTGATTGGAGAAGATGCATCATTATGGTTATAGATGATTAACTTCTCTTCACCCTAACCCTGCCGAATCCAACAGAATCCAACTGTACCTGTTGGAGCCTGTTGGATTGAGAGTAAACCCCTTGTATACGTGTACATATTCAGAGTTGGATTCTGTTGGGTACTGATAAATAATGCCAAGTTGGACTCTGCTGGAACCAGCAGACAATTAAAAATTAGGCACAGTTGGATTCTGTTGGATTGAGCAGGAAGTAACTGTTGGACTCTGTTGGATTTAGCAGGGTAGTCCTGAGGAACCCTTAGGGGGTAGGGTTTTAACTACCAGAAAATCAGCAATTTGTAAGCTCGACACCTATGCTGGGTCAAATTTTAATTCACCAAACTCCAATGCATGCCCACTAATGTATTCATGTACTGGTAGGTAGGCCTATACTTGAACAAGTACATGAAGTACATGTACGGTACATGTACAGTGTACATGTAGGAATGGTTTTGGTTGATTGAAAACCACTTCGTTGTATTTTAATTTGTTATAGTTCTATCATTTTCGTATTGAAGACTACGTGCAGATGGTAATTTTGTAATTGCTTGATGAATTATTTTTTTTCCCCAAGACATTGTTAGTACAGTTTGTGCACAGGTACCGTTTCTGTACATAATGTACAGAAAATCCATTTGACATAATGGAAGTCATCGTTCGTTACATAGTTCCAGCAGTTAACAATCTACATATTAAGACATACCGGTAGTACATGTATACATGTACGTATGCAGATGCAGAAATATACAACTTGCACAGTGTTTTCTCATATGTCTTGTACATGTACCTGGTTATTAATCTCTTGTGTTTGACAGCTGCCCAGTACATGTATGTACAATATTCAAGACTTCTTCGATCTGGTGACATTTTCATCTATCTTTCAGCGGATGGGGCGTCAGTTATGCATGATTTACTTGTAGTTGATGGATAGTGAGAAAGATGCAGTGAGTATTCTACTGGACATGCATGTGCTATATTTTGCTATTTGCATTTGGTTTTGATACAGTCCAATATTTTTGTCATTTGGTACAGGATAGCAGTCGGTAGCTGTGTTGTGCAAGCATGGCCAGGCGTGATGCAGCCCAGTTTGACGATGCATTTGAGGATGCAGAGAGTGACATTGTGAATCCCAAATCCAGCCTGGATGCTCACCTCAACATGGATGCCATCACCTCGTCGATTCGCAGCAACGGAGAGCTGCCCGAGTCGGAGAAGTCGGAGTCCCAGTGCGGGGAGGAGGTTGTGCCAGAGGAGATGAATGGTGCCTTGGAAGGGGAGGAGGACCAGATGGAAGGGTATTACGAGAATGAGGAAGAAAGCCATCAACCCAGGGAGAACTTGCATCAAGAGCTGGATGCAAATGAGTACTACGCAGAGCCAACCAATCAGTTCCACACAGGCATGACAGGAGAGGACATGACAGAGAGTGATAACGACAGAGATTACCAAGGGGAGGTGGAGGCAGAAGAGGAGGACATTCTCACAAGTGAGGGACATTATGCCGAAGATGCCCCTCAGGATGAGCAGCAACTCCCTCCCGACCAGGAGGAGGGGTCACCTAGGGAGGGCGAAGGAGCAGAAGAAGATAACATGGCTGCTGAAGTTGAAGGGGATTTCAGTAGAGACACCAGGGTGGAGGGGATGCAGTATGGGAGTGAGGATGAAGAAGAAGCAGAAGGGGAGGACTTCTTCGAGGAGGTGGAAGATTTCTATCTGGGGGAGCCCCAGCCAAAGCCACAGTTTGCTCCAGAGGAGGAGCTGCCTCAGTCGGAGCAAGCAGAGAGTGATTCTTATGAGCCAGTATCACAGGCCCATCTAGATAACCAAGCAACTCATTTCAGTCAGTCGAACACAGCAGATGCATATGACTGCCACCGTGAACCGGATCAGATCTGCGAGGAAGAACCGATTGAGGATCAGCTCGAAACTGCAGAGCAAGATGGTCTGCCACTTAAAGAAGCCACTTATGATATAGAGAGGTATGGAGAAGAGATGGCAGTCTCACATGCCGTCGTTGATCAAAGTCAGAGTGATTCAGCTGAGGCAGATCAAGAGGACTTTAGTCCAGCTCTCAGTGACCGAGGTTATCCAAATGAGCCTCCTGCTGATGAGAGCTTTACCCCTGAACAAGCTGAGGATGACTCTCTAGATTCAAGTAAAGACTTTACTAAGGAGAATAAATTCATCAACGTGGTACACCCAAATGTAAGTAGATTCCCAGAGCGTAGAGAAGAGCTGCCCATAAATGCACCAAAGTCAGACAATGATAGTACTCACAAACCAGTTCGACAACTTGCAAGCAATCAGGAGGTCATCCCTCCTAAAACTGTCCGTCCAAAGAGTCCACAGAGGTTGGGGCACCCAACTCCTTGGCCTACTACCGGTACATCTGCAAACACCAGTACTACTGCGCATTCCCAAAGAGGTACAACTTCTCCACCTCAACTGGCCTCCACAACTCAACCTAGAGATGCCAAGAGTACTAAGCCAACCGCAAGGCAACCAACTGGTCAAACTCCAAGAAGCCCAACACGACGAGTGCCTACAAGACAGCAGCCAGCAGCACAGACATCGACCGCAGCACCACCAGCTAAAACATCCCCTACTAGAGCTGCCCCTGCAAAAAAGCAGCAGGAGAGATACGAACTGAGCAAGAGCGACCCTAGGGGAGTTGGTCCTGGACAAGCTCAAAGAAGACAAGCCCCTGAATCAAAGAATGAGGTCAGTCAACAGAGGATGCACCAAGACAAGCCGATGGAGAAGCCAGCTGAGGCTCAAAAACCACTCCCTGTTCCTGGTGGGGCCAGGCCAGTGGCCTCCTTGAAATCCCGATTTCAGGACGAGATGAAGGAAATCTTTGATTTAGAGAAAAACCTATCTTCTAGTACTTTCATTAATCCTGCTCAGGAAGCTGGCAGGTGGACTCAGAATGGACAAAATGTCAAGAATGGAACACCTACCGGGCAGAGAACTAGTCCGGTGCGTGCTCGTCATAATGAGGAGTATGCAGCTGTGTCATCACTAAGACCAGCAGTTGAAAGGTCCAGTGGAGGATTGAGTACACCAGGCAGGGCCCAGTCAGCATCGCAGCATTCAGGCCAGCTTTCACCACAACCAGCAGGCGCCAAGACACAGGCACCCAAAAGATCTTCTCCACCTGCCAAACGAATCAGCAGTTCACCACGAATTCAAGCAGCTCAGCCAGAGCCCCCACGGAATAACTCCAATGCCAATAATCCACCAAGGGCCAACCCTGGTTCTAGTGCCTTGCAGAGGGGCAGGGGCGCTGACAAGTATAACTTCAATATGAGTGAACTGTCAGACGGTGCCAGTGGGGAGGTGGTTTTTGATGACTGTGACGAGTGTGGAGCCTACCTTGATGAGCGCATGGGTGGCTCCACTAGCCCGGATGTTCCTACCAAAAGGTTAAGCAAACCAGTCAATGGCTCAGTATCCCAGGAGAGGCCACGATCCTTGAGACGTCGCAACAGCTACGAGATGGCAAATCGTGAATCAAGCAGTGAAGACGAGGCAGATGAAGGCGAGTACAGAGTCGATGAAGGGTATGCCGCTGGTAGTGCTGAAGATGGCAGCACCCCATCCCATCAGCATCCTACTCGTAAAGAAGATCTTGCAGGGTCCTCTTCAGGAGGGAAGTATGATCTGGATGTTGATGGCAGTACTGACAGCGACGACAGGGCTCCAGTCATCCCGCCGACTGGTGTTGATGAAAATCTCTTGGCCAGGCTAGCAGCTAGGGAGCTAGCCAATCTATGGAAGTCCAACGACAAGAACAAGCAGAGTGCTGGCTCAGACAGCGGTGTCCAACCAGACAGCAGTAGGCAATCATCTGAGTACTCAGGTCCCAGCCCTCCAACAACACCACAAGAGCTTACTGTAGGTGGAGTTAAGCAGGATCAGCAGCGCAAGCCCAACATGCCAAACGTCAGTCCCATGGAGTATGATGTGGTGGGCGTTCGCCTGGCTGGCCATGCTGAGAGCAATGTCAGTGCAGGCAATCTTCCACCCCACCCAGAGGAGGACCAGTTCTCAGATGCCGATGAAGAAGATGAGCCCAAGTCTGGTGGTGGTGGAGGTGGCAGCGCATCGGTGCCAGACAAATTCCCCGAGAGGTTTAATTTCAGTCCAGGCTACAAAAATCTCAATCTGGGAAGTCCAGTTGCTGGGAGGTATCCCCCTAAGCCTGTGAAAGAGACCCTACCACCTCCTAAACCGGTGGATGTCAAAGATGCCATGAAGGAGCTCCAACAAGCCCTTTCGACCAGCAAGACAGCTTCTATGAAGACTCCATCATTCTACGTCCAGGAGCAACTGCCGCAGCCAATCTGGGTGATGCAGCCAGAGACAGCGCAGAGAGCTGCTGACGAAGACAGGAGACGGAGGATCATGGAGGAACGTAAGAAAAGGTGAGAGCTATGAGTCTAAGTCTGTCTTAAAATTACGTGAGATATAGTGCAGTGCTAGGCTTTGAGCTGTATCACAGAAATGTGAAACTAAAAGGGTTAAAGTAAAAGAAGGTGAAATGAGACCACAAATGCAGAGTGAAAAATTCTTTCACTATCTTAAAATGCACTCGACAGGACAACATTTGACAGAGCACATCTGTTTTTGTCAGGACTCAAACAAATGTAAAGACATGCTTCTTTAGTTTTACCCTCTGAAATCAAACGGTTTTCCGGTCATCATTTGTAATTCATTTTCCTTTTTTTTCGATTGGCAAAACCATTCAAAGTGTCAATGATAGTAACAATGACATTGATGATTATGACAATGGGCTCCGTGCACCAACAAAGAGGACCCATTTTTTACCACTTTTGAGGGCCCTGTGGACAGGACGGGAGGGGTACTGTAATGTACTGTACTGGTTCATACGACTTCCTGAATGTGCCAAAGCTATTAGCCACAGCGTCTTCGCGTGAGCGTCAGGCGTCGTTGGCCTGCAAATACGTTCGAATTTAACTTGCGATGGTCTCCCAGACTAATCCCCGCCCCTAATAAGTTTGGATCATTTGAAATATGCAGTGGATGGACCAGGAACCAGTCTAGGTCTCCCCCAACTCTCCTTTTCTGGCCATTGAAGGGGTACTTGTGCACGGAGCCCATAGGAAACTCAGCTTGTTTAAGACAAACTCACCCCTGTTTTCTTACAACAGACAGGAGGAGTTGCGCGTCCTGCGGCTGAAGCAGCGTGAGGAGTACATGCAGAGCACCGACCCGCAGTGCTACCAGCACATAGTTACCGATGAAGATGAGGAGACGGACGAAGGGCTAGAGAGCCGACAGCTCATCTCAAGCCAGGACCAAGCCGGGGGTAACTACCTGAACAAGCAGCGGCTGGTCATCGAACCGGACATGCGGGTAAGATCATAGAAGATACATGTAGTCATTTCATGTGACTTTAGACAGGAAGGACATTTGTGTCGCATTCTGGTAGAATCAGACAGACCTTGGCAGGGTGGGATATGTGGGTTAATGTAAGATTCTGAAAAGTTCTAAATTTTCTCCACAATCGGAGACAAAACAATTTGGTGTATAATGAGCTCCGTGCGCCGACGAAAGAGGGCGCCCTTTTACCTAGCAACGATGTCCCATGGGCGGGACATTTTGCCGGTTGACGCGCACTGTTCCTTGTGTGTGACGCACGTACACCAGGGGATTTGAACTATGTACACGCAGTGGCCATGCTTTGCAGCAAATGAATTGCAGTCAGGCAAGATGGCGTCGGTCGGTCACCCCCAACTGTACTCTCTTTGCCGGTGAGGGGGTACTTGTGAACGGAGCGGATACATACAGCCATTCCAATATAAAGTTACAAATTATGTTAACAGTTGGATTTCTTCGGGAAAAAAAGAAAAGGTCCTGTATACATTTGTACTTGAGTGAAAAATTTATTTGTACCTTCTTTCATCTGGAGATGTTTTGAACAGAAGTATTGGGAATGGGTATACATGTAAACAGATTGTTGTTGTTTTTCTCTCTTTAAGCTCCTCATTTTGCCTGCCTGGATCCATCTGTTTTTACAAGAATATGTCGCATGTTGTGTACAGTACTTCCATTTTCCCTTCATGAGAAGTAGCATTTCCCACCGTCCATTCATAGCTGACGTATGTGTCGTCCCAATTTTCTAAGTATCGCAATACATGTACACACCTCGCCTCATCAAAATTTGACACCACGGCTTTTCTGCGTGTGATGTGCATTCAGGAATAGCCATCAAGCTTTCCGGGGTGCGATACGGGTTTGATAAGGATCCATGGTATAATGTACTGCACTGGGGCTGGAGCTTGAGTAATTCGTGTCTGCTTGCAAAGTGGTTCAGTTGGACTTTCATTTGGCGTGATATCAAAATTTTAAGTGCGAAGAATGTGACAGTGTCATGACTGCTACCGGTATTGGTGTGCATTTACAGGCGGTTCGGGAACCGGGTACCCGATTAAAAAAAAAAATGGGAACTCGGGTATCCATTGAAGAAACCCAACACCAGAATTCAAATCTCGGAAGTTGCTGTCCAGATTATTCATAAGGTCCGCACGATAATACTACCACAACGGTGCATCAATACAGCAAGATACAAGTGTGTACATTTTTCAATCGTGTTCCCTGAATCTATTTTATAAATTGTAAACTGTTGAATGGGATGGTGCCAGACTATTTTATGACTGGAGTGCGTTCCAAGCCTCACTTTCAAATTTTTTTTCTTTTATATAAATGTGGCTTAAAACGTAGGGTATTTTCAAATTTTGAATTATTCATGAGAGGAGACTGTATTAACTTGTAAGTAACTTTTATTTCATTGCTTTCATTTCTGCTCGCAAGTTCCAAAAACGAAGAGTTTACCTCACTTTCAATTCAATATGGCCGACTCGTGAATAAAGTCTGTTCCTACATGTACATGCCTTTAAGACACAGTCATTGTGACGTCATTAAAATTAGGCATGCAACACAGCAACAATTCCACAGAAAAAAAAACCTCGGAGACAATTTATTCCAAAATGATACAAGTAGGTAATTGAAACACAACAGCGGCATCGTACATTTGTGATTCTTGATATGACGTAACTGGATTAATTTTATAAGATTTGAGGCTTTGCATGGTGGGGTATCGGTATCGTTTCGGTTTGCAGTAACACCATGTGGTAATAACTACTGCTTAGAAGATATTAGTTCTGAAAAGAACTTGTCCTGCTTATTATCAACTTTGCTAAGTAGTTTTTTTGTTCTGATAAGAACAGTCTCCTGACGATGACTAGAGCAGGCTAGTTGAAACGTTGAGACCAAAGGACTGTTCTTATCAGAACAAAAAAAACTACTTAGCAAAGTTGATAATAAGCAGGACAAGTTCTTTTCAGAACTAATATCTTCTAAAGCAGTAGTTATTACCACATGGTGTTACCGCAAACCGAAATGATATGGATTAATTTTCCTCCTAAACTGAAACGTTCTCACGACATAACCGCTTTCAAGCACTAGTCGGTATCCACTGATACATAATGTGTATCTGTGACAATCCAGGAATGCCCGGTCTTGCCTTCTTGTCGGCAGTGGACCATTATTAGATGTAGCCGGGACGTTAATTTGATTTCCAGCGCCACTCCATTGAATTAGCCATCTCCACGCATAGCGCAAGGTCAACTGAGATGACAAGACGCCCATTTATTGGATTCCTGTACAATCCTCTTTAAGGCCCATACACTTTCAATTTTTTTTTAAAACGACAATGGTTTTTAGAGAAAGTATTTACTTTGCTCATTGAAGGGATTTTCAAATTTGCTTTTAATCTTATTTTAGGCGCTTAAGGGGTGAGTTATTGAATATTGACACTGTCCACAACAGGTCGTTTGTGATATGAAAAATAAATCATTTGGGCATTGAACTTTTTATCCTTACAAACATGGAGACTTTTCTTCCTTTCTTGAAACTTTAATTCATGCTGCTTTTAAATTTTTTATTGTTTGTTGTACATTGTATCGGTATGTATTCATGTGTTATTTTCATTAGGTGTGAAGACTGTACATGTACACCTGCTAGTGTAATTTGTCATGATGGACCATGCATACATGTACATACAATGTACCGGGAGCTGGTAAAAGCTAATTCTTGATCTTTACATCAACACAAAATGGTGCCTGAGCATAGTCAGTGTGATTCAGTCACTAACATGAGTCACAACTTCATTGTACATGTACATGTATGTACATCACTGTAGACCTCGTGACCTTGAAAGGATTTACATACTATGTACAAAGTAGAAATCAAGTTTAGTATTAAACCTCCAGTACCTACATTATGCAAGTTGATTTTGCTAATGGCCCTTTCATTATTGATTGCTCCATTTTGAAGAATAGGCTTGTTGTACAGAAAGTGGTAAGACTGGTAAGCAGCAGGTCATGGGTTCGAGTCCCACCTGAATAAGCTGTTGAATTTTGAATTACAGAGTTTATGAAATACGTTGGCGAAGGGGAAACCCTAATATAAAATAAAATCTCTGTACATGTAGGCCTATGTCCATTATGTATATCTTTTGTAAACGGTGTATCTCATGTCTCCTTGCATATGGGCCCATCGCCAAGGAGGGGCCTAGGGGGGCCTGACCCCCCCTGATGAACAACTGGCCCCCCCCCCTCCATCGTCAAAAACCATAGGCGTAAATATTATATACTGGTATAAGTGTGTTTTTTCTTGTAGTGTGCCCCCTAGTTTGTACTGTGCCCCCCTCCCCCCCCCCCCAATGCGTGGAGCTGGCGATGGTGTTGCTTGCGTACCATCCTGTTTTTTGTTTCCTCAACACTACCTGGTGTGTCATCTCTATCAATTCCGGTTATTGCTTTTGAATCAACATTAGCATAGTAGCACTGATCCGTCTGCACACTTTGTTTTCATATGTCCAGGATGTCCACAAATACATGACATTGCCTAAAAGAAATAATAATAATGTCAGTGTCTTTTTACATCCGCCCTAGTCATAACCCCCAAGGCAAGATTTGTACTTTTTTTTATCTACATGTAATATTGTTTGCTGTCTATCCTCTACCCACATGTACCCGGACAGGTATGGTACATCTTTCCAAGAACGTGACTTCCCCTCTACCTGCCTCATCTCTCCAGTCCTGTCTCACTCAGGTTTCCACTTTATCTCCCCATGCAGTCAACACGTTTTTCTTTCCCCGTCCCCCGTATGTCTCTTAGCCAAACCAGGCCATTCCCCTCCAGTTTCCGTCTCCAGCCCTCCCTCTCAGTCATATTTCTCCCCTTTCCTCTCCGCCTCTTCTTCACACAACCTGTCCAACTCCGTCGCCTGCTCTTTGCGTGTCCCGTGTCACTTTGATCAATTTCCTGCCTGGCTTGAAGCATTTCCCCCACTTTGACAATGGCTACGCAAACAAACAGTGGCTGTTGCTGTCCATTGCAAAATTCGCATTGTTAGTGATTTGTGTGCGTAGCAAAAGGAAATGTGGGCATTATACAGGGTGGTCAAAAAAACACGTTTACACTTTTTCAGACGCAGATTTCTTGGAATTGGGGAGACGTGTTAAAATTGTTTCAAGATATTCCTAAACTACAGCATTTTCTTGGTATATAGTGAAAATGGCGCTGAAAATAAAGTCTAAATTAAGAAATGGCGATGGTTTAAAGAAAGATGCAAGTCTATGACAGTGTATGAGATGGTCAACACAATAGCACTGCACGCACAAATAATTGCTATAATTGTAATTACATGTACCTAGGTCCACACGACTGCCGCAGATGTGGACAAACCAATTTTTGACCATATTTCTGTAAGCAGCCGCTTTTTCTTACTCTGAGCTTTATATTCAACGCCATTTTTCACGAGGTACCGGTACCACCAAGATCTTGTAGTTTAAGAATGTCTTAAAACAATTAACATGTCTCTTCAATTTTGAGAAATCTGCCTCTGAAAAAAGTGTACACCCTGTAGAGCCAAACCCTTTCCAGCGACAAGTTTATAATTTTTTGCCCAACAATTAATGGGGCGACGTTCTGTGAAGAATTCAACACAGAAGTTTTTACATTACTGTACATGTACATGTACATACATGTACATTTACGCCGTTTTTACAGTACTTGCATGTAATACCTTTCCTATTAAATATTGAGAGAACAACATTTTACCGGTAATCCGTACTCGTGCAGAGGGGATCCAAACAGATTGAGACTCATGCATAATGCATATACATGTAAGCCGGCAGTCACTGAAATGAATTTCAACCTGTGTTTGCAGCTGTATGAATTTGAAGTCATTTGTGCGGGGTACGGGAGATTAAAATTTAATGGCTAATAAAAAAAAGATACTTTACGATACTTAAAATTGACAAAGATGCTGCTAGGATCAAAATGTCAGGACCGAAAAAGCCAAACTGAATATTGAGACTTGCATACGTACTTACATATGTACGTGCACATGTACCAAAGAAATTGTTTTGTCAAATACATTGTATATGCTGTCATTTTTGAAAAAACAGGAAAAAGGGGATAGTGCACCTGTTCACAGATGTGTAACGATTGCAAACAAAATGTGGACTAACTAAATTTGGTAAATTGGGGGCATTTGTAAAAAGTCATTTTTTTTTCCCAACGACGAGCGGCAGACCATCGTTGGAACTTGATATAAAAATTCCATGTTTTTTTGAAAATGACAGCACACCAGGGTGCCATGATTTCACAGGAAGCTTGAGACTGTTATTCACTTACAGTCAAGTAAGGTATTTCATACTAATTTGGTACTTTTGTTTTTTGATGTTTGCAGATGTTGTATAGTACCTTTAAGGTTTTAGATCAGCTCATTTGGTACATTGTGTTGTACGATCAGAGTATCATGTTTATGTGTGTGCCGGTACATACATGTACATACACCCTGCTGCTACATGTACATGTATGCAACTTGAACATTCACAGTAATGTTCGGTGCATATGTACATGTACATGCAGCCGCTACTCATTGGAATACAAGCTCATACATATACGCACTGAACAATTTTAAGATAATTGTTTTGTTAGGCAGGGAGATAGGGTGTATGGTGGTGAACTTGTAGAAAAAGTGATAAGAGTTCTTCTGTGAGATTTTTGTGTGTTTTGTTTGGGTAGGGAAGGGGGGGGGGGCACAACATCATACCAGTTATCATGGTTATGGGCAAATCCATGGTTACTCACGATACATTTTTGATGTACTTTTGAGTTTCCTTGGGCTGTAATTACCTTACTGAAAAGGTTTAATAACTGTTAGATAGAGTAGACCTAGACCTACTTAAGCACCAAAGATGACATCCAGAAAAATGTGTTATGTATGATAAACAAGACGCACAAAATCGGTTACTCACGTTACGAGAATGTAACGTGAGTAACCGATTTTGTGCATCTTGTTTATCATACATAACACATTTTTATGCCCCGCGGCGAAGCCGAAGGGGCATACTGTTTCCGCCTTGTCCTTCCGTGGGTGGGTGGGTGGGTGGGTGGGTGTGTGGGTGTGTGTGTGGGTGTGTGTGTCCGGACAAATCTTGTCAGCGCGATAACTTGAGAAATACTTTACATATGAACTTCAAATTTGGTTTGTGGATTGTCCTTGGCAATCCTAAGAAGCCTTTTGTATTTGGGGCCAAAAGGTCAAGGGTCAAGGTCACAGTTGCTGAAACAATAGAAATTTTGTCAGCGCGATAACTTGAGAAATACTTTACATATGAACTTCAAATTTGGTTTGTGGATTGTCCTTGGCAATCCTAAGAAGCCTTTTGCATTTGGGGCCAAAAGGTCAAGGGTCAAGGTCACAGTGACTAAAACAAAAGAAATTTTGTCAGCGCGATAACTTGAGAAATACTTTACATATGAACTTCAAATTTGGTATGTATATTGTTCTTGGTAATCCTAAGAAGCCTATTGCATTTGGGGCCGAAAGGTCAAGGGTCAAGGTCACAGTGACTAAAACAAAAGAAATTTTGTCAGCGTGATAACTTGAGAAATACTTTACATATGAACTTCAAATTTGGTTTGTGGATTGTCCTTGGCAATCCTAAGAAGCCTTTTGCATTTGGGGCCAAAAGGTCAAGGGTCAAGGTCACAGTGGCAAAAACAAAAGATATTTTGTCAGCGTGATAACTTGAGATATACTTTACATATGAACTTCAAATTTGGTTTGTTGATTGTCCTTGGCAATCCTAAGAAGCCTATCGCATTGGGGGTCGAAAGGTCAAGCGTCAAGGTCACAGTGGCTAAAACAATAGAAATCTTGTATTTATTCTGAGATCATAGGGATTAGGGATTAATTCATATAAAACCTACAGAAGACACTAATGCTGTCAATGAACGTTCCATGTGAACAAGGTACATGTAAGTTGATGTTAGGGTGGTGTTATGTCATGGAAACAGTCACGGTTGCGGGGCATTTGTGTTTGTAAACACACCTGACTTGTTCTGGATGTCATCTTTGGTGCTTAGGTAGGTCTAGGTCTACTCTATCTACCGTGGGGATAACAGTTATTAAACCTTTTCAGTAAGGTAATTACAGCCCAAGGAAACTCAAAAGTACATCAAAAATGTAACTTGAGTAACCGTGGAATTGCCCCATGGATTTTTTTTTTTAAATTTCACACAATACCTGTATCTCATACCCTGAAAATTAAACAAAAAAGTAAGTTTGGTCTTTTTGTAAAATGTAGAGATGATTTTTTGGATGTGCTCATTTGAGGACATTCTATGTGCAGTCTTGATAGTTTATATCAACGAAAAATGGTTTTCATATTACACAGTGTATTTTATTATTGATTTTGTGGTGAATTTGATAATATTTTTTGGTGTTAATTTTTGGCCTTTTCTTTTGGTTGTGCAGGCTCCAGATCTCCCTCCTGCGCCAGGACGAATTCAAGAATGTAAGTACAAACCAATTATTTCATCCTATCCCCCTGTTTATTACAGAATTTTAGAATCCGTTCTATTTATAGTCATGCACGTAGCTTATTTACAATTACCGTTGTTAGTAAAACTTCCCTGGAACAGCAGTTTGGCCAGAGATCTGAGATTACAAACAGAAGATGTTTATATTACATCAGAAATTGCTTATCACTTTTCCGAAATGTTTACATCATGTTCCCATACAAAGTAGATAAGAAAAACTATGTTGTCGAAAATGCACAGTCAGATGCATGAACCGTACAACTGTACATGTTTATATAAACATTTCATAGAGTAGTAAGTTGTCAGAGTTCAGATACAGTTCAGAAATGTAAACTTTTACGAACATGTACACGTACATGTAGTTCATTGCCAGTCATGGCAACCTTTGAATGACACCATCTTATCAATTTGGGGATCCCTTTTTGTTCAGTGTTGCAATTTTCCCCCCATTTTTGAAAAAGCCGTGGGAATGAGAAATACATCATTTTTGAGAGTTACTGCACCAATCCATGAGCATCTCCTCAAAAGTTTTATTCCTCGTAGTTAAATTTCAGCATTCCCCTGCCAAATCACGTATCATCGGCAGACGCTATCAGGAAAGCCTGTCGCCAATGTTACACATCAAACGCCGATGACTCACAGCAAAGATTTGTAAGACTGAGTCAGGGCATGTCGCTTTGGAAATCATTTTTGAAATCTCTTGAACATGCGAAGGAAATTTGCGTATTGAGGTTAGGTCAGCCCATCGTGATCATCATTTGAGTTTGAGGTCAGGTCATGAGGTCAGAGTTCAAGAAGAAATAAAAATCTGCCAGTATTTTATGATAATTTCACTTTACCCTAACCCTCATTCAACACAGCCACCTACGATTGTGTACATTTGTGCATTGATTCTACCCGATACTATCGCAATTAAGCGAAAATCGTAGAAGTACATGAACCACAGGCTGTCTTGAGTCTTTAAAAAACCACTCAGATTATCAAATAAAATGCCCACTTTACGTGACGAGATGGGGCAGTGACTTCTCTGGAAGCGAGAGGGAGGCACCGGTAAGGGTGATGAGAAATTGGAAAAGCGTTTATTGAGGCGGATTTAATCCAACTCTCTAGAGCAACGACTTCTGGTAAAGGAGGCCAAGAAATAAAAAAATTCTGCTTCTCGTCGGGAAAGGAAAACAACAAACGGCGGCGTTTTGAGTTGCAAACACGATTTGCGGTTAACATCGATCGTGACGGGCGCCTCCATCGCGCAGGGAGACCCCCGGGAGTCTAAGCGGAGGGTTCTCAGACCCGTTATGCTCATTACCCCCTCAACATTATGTCAGGATTCACAGGGTATTAAACAACCGATTAAACACCCCTTCCCCATGGACTAGCAAATTCATCCCTCCAAGTTATCGGGGAAAGACCCGTGTTTGAGGTTGTGGACTTTCGGGTTGTGGGCGGGAGGTAGAGTTAGTTGGTCCATCAGTTGATACCACTCTTGCCTTTAGGGGGCAGTTATGGACTGTCACTGAGATTAAATTCGTGGCTGGGTTTTGGGAAAAAGTAAAAATATCCTGGGGCTTGGATGAGGGAAAACATCTCTATTGAAAATGAAAACAGTAGACTGGACATGTACACGTACTGTACAGTACATGTCCATACCTTGCAGTCAGTGTGATATTTGCTTTGAGCATTTAGAACATCATTGATTGTTTGCTTTGTTTCTGTTATATTGGTTTGTGCCCTTTGCCAACACATTTATAAACACTGTATTCTTTTTTTCCCCGCAAAGCTCCCGACAACACCAAGTGTTTATAAAACACGTCTGCAAAGGGCAAAAACCCAATTATTATAATTTACATCTCCCAACACTTATAAAATGCTTTGATTCTTTTTGGGACTTTTTTTTTTTTTATGCAGTACAAGAAGTTGTCCACTCATATTTTTAAATCTGAAAATTTGACGGGCGGGCTTTTTTTTATTATTAAAGCAAGAATTAACAAATCAATCCATGGTGACATACGGTGTACACATCGTCTGTGCCTCCAAGCCTCGTCCGCCTGGTTTAAAATTTCAGCAAACATCTCCTTCAACGGCCATCATTCTGTAAGACACCCCCCCCCCCCCCCACTCTGAATGTCTTGAAGCTGAGTTACTGGGGTCCATCAACTGCTTATCGGGGTCAAGATATTCCGTCTCATCTTACTGGCCTCGGAGATCTTTGGAGTGGTTCAACATACACATACGCTGATGCATCCAGGATAGTGATCGTAACGCGCATTGTTACTGCAGGAAGAGGCCCGGGGACTTCTTCGTAAAGACTGTACTCCAGTTACCGAGACTTTGAGAGAGAGATAAGCTGTGATGGAGAAGCCATCATGTGGGGCATTATGTGACAAATCTACCTTCCCGTGAAAAACTCCTGCAATCTGAGCGTCCGGGCTCACCCTTGTGTCGGGGATTCTTTTTGAATGTCAATCTGGAGAAATCGACGAGAGTCAGCCACTGGCTGGAATTATCAGATTCCTAAGACCTCAAGAGTGCAATCCTCCTGAAATACATGTGGAAGACTCGGCAGAGTGAAAGCCTTTTTTCTTGGGGTATTCTCGCCCACACACACATCCTTTTATGTGCCTATGCAGTCTCCTAAACCACAGAAAAACTCTCCGTTGTGCATTCTCTTGGGGGGGGGGGGGGTTCAGTCGCTAGGCAAATCAGAGATGACCTAAAAAAGTCACCCTGCAGCGCTCTGGTTGCTTGAGGATGCCCGTTAGCAATACTCGCATCTTTTTGATACAGCCGTACAAACCAGCATGCAATCCTGTCACAGAATTGCTCAAGACATCTCTCTGGGGGGTTACAGTTCGTGGACGAGTCTAAAACCACTCAAGACAGGTACATAAACATACGTGGCTTGACAAACAATCCAGCATAAAGAATACGGAGAGATACACCTTAAAGGGAATATAATATACAACATTTGCAAACACCAGAAAACAAAACTACCAAATTATTGTGAAATACCTCACTGGACTGTTCGTGAATGACAGTATAAAGCATCCTGTAAAATCATGGCACTTGGTGTGCTGACATTTTCAAGAAAAGTGTTTTTTTTTCCCTATCAAATTCCAACACTGGTCAGCCGACCAGCGTTGGAAAAAGTGGCTTTTTTTCAAATACTGTCCCCAATTTATCATATTTAATTAGTCCACATTTTGTTTGCAATCAATTACACTCCTATGAACAGATACAAGCCAGCTAGACTGGGGTCAGGGAACCAGATTACAAGAAAAAGATTTTTTTTTTTTAGGTTTTTCCAGCATTTACGAACACAAAACTTCAAACAAGTCAGCGTAACAATATTTGCTATAAAATACTACCCCCCCCCCAATCCATCCATTTCTGAAATTACAGCAAAAGCAAATGTTGTATGTAAATTCCCTTTAATGTGTCAAATGACACCTTTTTTGAAAATTTCTGTTTGTAGTTGGTTTTTAATTAGACGAATGCGTGAATGGGTGCAAGCATACCGGTAGACAATGACGCACACGCATGTGCGGCTGCTATTATTCGTCTGTTCAGTGTGGGACATCTCGCAGAGCAATTGGCTGAATGTGAATCATGTCTAGAATGCTGAGTTTGGGATTGTGTCACGGGAGGGCGCAATTCAAAATATGATACTGCAACTTTTGAAATCGAACTAAAATTGAGATCCGGAATATTGTGTTTTGTCGCAATGTACAGCATTCACAGAGCTAAAACTTCATCGGGTTAGTTGTTTAATAAGCATCTGTCTTTAGATTTTGAGCACTTTTGTTGCTTCAAACGAAAAAAATGCACAAATGATAAATGGTCTATTCTACCTTTAAAAGAAGTGAATTGTAACAATTACATTGCATAAAAAATGGACATATTAATAGATATGAGTTAACAAGCCTAAGGTTTACATGTACCATGAGCAACCAACCAGATTCATAAAAGAAAAAAACAAAATTATTCTGAAAATAACAAAATGCTTTGATACCCATATTGATTGAACCAGAAAGTCTTGGTTCAACCAAAAATAAAAATACAACATAAACTGCCGGATGTTGGCCAATTTTCCAAATTTGTACACTTTTTATTTCACTTTTCAATTCACTTTTCAACTTAAATGTGAATGTAGAGCTAATTGGGTCATCAGTCTGCAAAAAAATAATATAAAACAAAAAATAAACTAAATAAAGAATGGGAAAAGAAAAGTGGAACTCCTGAAAATGTTTTCCCAACTGATTAAGAATTGAATTTAGAACACAGTCTTGAAGGTGATGCAATATGTTGGACTGTAAAGTTATTTAATAATTCACTTTCACAATCAAATTTCACAACAATTTGGACATGGAAGCCCAAGTGCTGTTAAAGTTCTCTTCATGTTGTGAAATGTTGAGTAATTTTCACTCAGTAATCAGCGGCTTATCATTTTGTGATAGCTCATGTTCGTGAACTCTGTATGACCTGACCTCATGTCAAACCCACCGGTAACGTCCGTGGACTTGTTTTAGAATTTGTAATTTTTATGCCTCGAAATGTGTACTAAAGACAAAGTCATTATGGTAGTTCTTTACATTTAAACAAATATTTTGGATAAATCTTCTCCGTTAAATTTAAGGGTTAAGGGAAAAACGAGTGTGTTTTTATAGGCCAGATACTATCACTTTTTGGTGTTTTTTTTTAATGATTGTCAAGAAACGTCTGAAAAGATGGAAATATCTAAAATGAACACTTTGGTATGAGTCTTCCAAGTTAAGTGACAGTTTTTAAGAAAAGGGGTTTTAGGTACCTTTATATGGATAATTCAGTTAAAGATAAACATGTACATGTACGTGTACATGTAAACGTGTGTGTCTGTATTAACTGTACGGGCTGCACGCGTAATTTTTATTCCTAGGAGGGTTAGGGGCAATGTCATGAATAATTCATGTTTATCCATGAGAACGGACAATGACATCAACAGCATTGTTGTTAGTTACTCAACTAGTTACAATACATTAAAGCATTTTAAAGAACGGTTGTCGTCGAGCTACCACACAGTAGCCTAGTGGATAGCGAGATGAGCTATGGATACAAAGATCCCTGGTTCGAATTCACGTCGTCGCTGCTCATTTTCATCAGCTATTTTTCGTCTCCAAATTTATCACTGAGATAATTTTAAATTAAGGGGAAAATAGAACGAGAACCTAAGTCTTGCAATGATTCAAAGGAAAAACT